CCCTTAATTTGAAATAATTGAGTGACCATTTGAGTAATAGACATCTAACTTTGCACAGTTTTTACTCTCCTTAAGAAAGATATTTCTCTTAATGGTTAGAGGATTTTTAACTATCCGCCTTAAACATCTTAGTTAAATAATAGTAAAACTTTATATAATTTCTCTACCACGTGAAATAAAAGTGCTACTTAAAAAGCTAAGTGACGATGGAAATTGGAACACTTACTCAATTTCCCACCCATCATTTCTCCAACCAAAAGTTAAAAAGTGAAAATTTAAAGAAATAATTAAAGAGTCAACCTCAAACTCTAGAAGTGCTCATTGGCGTGCAATCTCTTCCCCATCAAGTGAAAAGATATATGATGAATACACAGAAAGTGCTAGTGGGAATCTTTAAAAGGTATTTTTATATAATGTTTGAGGCACTTCTCTTTTTTGGCATTTTAAGTGAACATTAATTAAAAAGGCTCTTCACCTTCTCAACAAGAATGATTATGAAGGGTTTCTTCGACCACTTACTTGAACCAAAAGATATGTCCACTGAATAATTCAATTCTATAGTGCTTTGGCAAGGATATATTGATGGAACCTTACATTAAGAATTTTTTATTGTGTGGTCATGTATTTCTACCAAAGTAAAAACGTGAAAAATGCAATTAGTATACGTCTTTTTTAACGGGCAATGTAATAGATTTTAAAAAGTTAAGTATTATTTTCACAGTGGAGTTGACTTCCCGATAATGCAAGATCTACCAACAAGTCTTGCCCACTTTAAAATGAAAAATTGGTGAGAAACAGTTTTTTCCAATAAATTATAACCATTACATACCTATAATATGATACTCCCAAAACGTACAAACTAATCTTTAGAAAAAGGAAAAAAAAAAATTCAATGATAGACGAAGATCCTAGAAATATAGATATCGAAGTTAGCACTCTACCTCGTCTCGTGTTCTAGCTTTTGTAATTGGATCAACATCAGTATTTGCAATTTTCGGGAGAGAAGAAAAAAAGTACTAACATACAAGTCATACTTGTTTAGATAAAGGATTTAACTCATATATCCGACTTTACAAAAAACTTACATTATAAGTGAATTTTAACCGATTATAATAAATTATTAATTGATTTTAATCAATTTAAAATTATTAATTTACAACTAATATAAGCAGATACTTACTTATAGGGTATATCTAAATTTGATGGTACAGTCAAACCTCTCTATAACAACCGCGTTCGTTTCGAATATTTTTGGATGTTATAGCTAGCGAAGTGCTGTTATAGAAAATATATATTACAACATAACATAAAAATTGGTTCCAGAAAATCTTCACTTTTATAGTAAAGTGTTGTTATATAGGTATGCTGTTATAGAGAGGTGTACTTGTTCGCAATAAATTATATGTATACAAAAATAAATTGCAACCACAATACAAATATGAAGGAACGTAATTTTATTGATAAAATGATGCGGGTACAATTCTGTTTGTTCCCTTGATTCTTCCTCCGAATTGTTATCCGTAATTCGAGGGCCTTAGCGGCATATTTCTCGAACGTTGGATAATATGCATCTCCTTGATGTATTTGATTATCAAGAAGCATGTAGTAGCACTCTATTTGGATCTTGAATGTTGCTAGAACTTTGAACAAGACATATTTGACATGTCTTTGATCTCTTAATGAATATCCCAAGAGTTTTATGGAATTTCAGAGACGTCATATTTGATCTCTTTATGCATATTCCGAGAGTTTATGGAATTGCTGAGATGATCTCCATATTTTTGAGATATTTTTTTTTAAAGGATTATGTAACCCTTTTTATAAGAGTGACCTAGGGTTTTGGTAGAGTAACCTCTAAGCAACACTGACAGACTGCTAGAATTTTAAGAGGTCTTTATAATATCTTGAATTTAGGATTTAACTCGATCCATCAAGATTTTGATGTCTACAGTACTATACAAAGAAATTTGCACCATCACCATAAATAAGTCAAACTCTTCGATAAAATGCACATTTATAAAGAAGCGATCTAATTAGAGGCGCCGACTCAATCATCAAGAATAGAGGTGATAAATAGGCAGGTCGGATCGGATATGGATTGAAAATGGATAGTGAAAACATAAAATATCCGATCCACCCATATTTAATACAGAGTGAAATTGGGTTGACCGATAGATAATATAGATATTCATATTATTCGTGACTTCTTGAATGTGATCACTTTTTGGATAATCTCCCAAATTTAAGTAACTCCTAATTTGAGTCGTTGCAAATATAAAAGTTAAACACATTGGTTATCCATTAAGTGTCTATTTTTTAAGTGGATAATATGGATCTTATCCACATTTGACCTATTTTTAAAAGTTTATTATTTAATCCATTTTTTAGTGGATAATATAAATAGTAATCTTTTTTAAATATCCATTTTGCCACCGGTGACGAAGAATTTCAACTTTCAAATGAACAAGTAGCAACATAAAGTGCAATTGGACCATATATAT